AAAAAAAACAACAATTACGATAATGTGTACAATGTTCGAAGGTAGCGAGCGTTAATATATAACAGATGTTGTTGATTAACGCATCAACAATATCATCAAAGAATTCGTCGATAAATGCTGTTCAATGTTCCCATATTTACACTCTAACCAATTAAGCCGAAACCTTAAAAAATAATTCACACAACTGCAGCTGTATATGACATATCGATATATAGCAAGTTCAACGGAAGAATATTGAACACGACGATCTGAACACATCTGCTACATCTGCTACAGATGATAATTTGAAGATAATTCAAAAGAATTCTGAACAAACATCTAAAGACTGTTAAGAGAAATAATAAGAATAATGAAATACAAACTTCGAGCAATACCTTTCTAGACGTGGAATTTAGCAAGCACAGCCCAATGATCACTGGGGAAGCAGAGCACTCGACGAATTCGATCCTTTCCTTGCAACGAGAAATCAACTGATGAGAAAACACCACCACTGAATCATCCATTATTTGATGATGATTTTGAGAAAAAAAAAGACAATCAGAACAATAAAATGAAACCGTAACAAGTATTACCCATGAAAGTAGAGTCTATCGAAACGACATCGCGCTCCCCCAGCCTCTACATTATCGTTAGCGCTTGAATCCCACGTGAAACGCCATTTGTGCTGTGAACCAGCCGCAACCCATGCATCTTGAAAACCATCCGGTAACGTGCCAACCTAAACATTCAATATCTTATACCAGTCAATGTCTTAAACTCATATCTTACACTAACATTCAATATCTCATAGTAACATTCAATATCTTATACCAGTTCCAGGAAAACGAATGATGAATAATGTTAGTGAGCAGTGATTTTCGTGATGATAAAAATGAAATTCAGTGGATTGTAACACTCGTTTTTGTAGCATTTTTGTGCACGTCTAAGGACCGCAATTAACCGCCATTACTTGCAATCACATTATCAAAGAACCATTCCGATAACCCGCCTCATTATCGCGTATATTCAAGTCACCACCGAACACAATCAACGACCGACCGTCATTCCATTCCTTCACTAAATCGAAACACTCTTGCATCTGCGCCTTTCGAATGTCACTATGTTCCTTCATACTCTCCAGATGGGTGTTCAAGAGATGCACTTTCATATCGCCGATTTTTGCCTTTAATTTGCTTTAATTTATACTTCCTATTACCAACACGCAATATAATAACGATGAAAATACAATAAAAAATGACGATAACATCACTGAAGCAAAAAATACGAAGGTCTATTCGACGAAACGTCAG